ATGGAACACCAGGCTATATACCATGTGGTGAGACTCAGAATCCCATTCCCTGGCCAGTTTTTGTTCTCTCCCCGCACTTTTACACACACAGCTACCCCCAGCCCTCCTCTCCTGCCCACCAGACTCGGGTCAAGTTGATGAAAGAACCTGAGGTTGAAAATTTCTGAACAAGATTTAACCTATTGTCTTTATTCTTCTACCCACTTGCTTGAGAACAAGCCAGACAGGTATTCAGAGGAGGCTTTCATCCCTTACTGGGCCTCCTGACAGGTTTCCGTTCTCAGATGCTCTGCAGCTCTAATGTTTTTCTTTTCTTTTTTGGTGCATCTTGTAACGGCTAACAGAATGACACTAAAGCCAACAAACGGTCTGCTTCTCTCCAGCAGTACCAAAGGATGTTGTTACCTCAGGATGTGAGACGACATAGACGGTTAAATTAGCAGTATTAGCACATGCTTCATTTTCCTTCTAGCCTTGCTGAGATGTAACCGACACGTAACACTGTAAGTTTAAGGTCTACAGTGTGATGGGTGGACGCACGGATATGTTGTGAATGTTTACCACGATAATGCATTCTCCTCTTCACGTAATTACCATTTTCTTTTTGTTGTCACAGGGTTTTTCTAAAGTAGCCTGAGGCTGGGTTCCCTTCCCCTCTGTCCAAACTGGGGACACTTACCAAGCAAAATGCCCCCTCGCCCCAAGAGAGTTCTCTCATGGCCAGGGTCCTACATTGTTAATTGGCAAGTAAGATAAGAAATGAGAGACCCGCACCGGATTCAACTCACACTTGACTCAGAGAGTAACCGTGTGACCCTTACAAAGAGCTGGGTTGGAGTTTGAAGAAATCAGGCAGTGGAATGAGTAGGAGATATGGAGTCTGTAACTGCAGAACATTGAAATGGTCAACACATTCACTTCCTTTTCTCTTTGTTCTCTGCAGGGAAGGAGATTGGTGGGAAGCCCGCTCCTTGACCACCGGAGAGACTGGTTACATTCCCAGCAATTATGTGGCTCCAGTTGACTCTATCCAGGCAGAAGAGTAGGTTTTGTTGTTTTCGCTCAACTACTTTTAAAAGTTAGTTGTCACAGTAACATGCTACTAACCTTGTGCAGGAGGGAGAAGAAACTCACTAGAGCGATTCAGGGTTGAGAGAAGATAGTGATGCCGCATGCCCCAGGCACTGTGCTCTGCGTTTTGCCATATCTGTGTAATACTTGTGCTGTTATTAACTTAATATTTTTCTTTATGACTGTATCTTAAAAACATACTGATTTTGAAAGGGAACTTTGTATCAGAACCCTAAATGAAAGCCCAATATTAGTTGCCGTAGACCGAAAGTAACCGGAAAAACGTGATGAAGTTCTGGCTAGGGCACATCTTAGTAATGTGAACCCAAGGTTTTAAGCCTATAGTCTGCTGGAAAATAAAAAAGAGCGAGGGAGAGAGAAAGAATGGGAGTGGGGAGGGAAAGAAAAAGGGGGGCGGGGAGTAAGGGGCAAGGGGGCCAAATAACTATTAAAGATGAGATGGAGATTCTCTTTCTCAGTGTAATCAGAAATATTAAAGGAGCACCGAAAAGACTTACCTTCCACGTGCCAGGTAGAAGTGTCTCACATACAGCATGTTCCACAACTCAGGAAGCTCTCGTGATGCATTTCAAATGCTGCTTTCCTTTGAGTTGGGGTCTTGGTTGGTTTCCTTGATAGGAAATCGTGACTAGCAGTTAGTTGGACCAAGGATTTCACTGGCTCCAGTTTTGGAAGTTGCTCAGTAGGCCGAGGGGATTCTAGAAGGGACAACCATTGTTCTTCCTCCTGACCTGTGGGGATTCATGGGCACTTTCAAAAGGGGGAACTATTAGAGTGGCTTGTGTGTGGTTACCCCCATTTCTGAACTGAGGGGAAGAAAACTGGCCCGTGACTTCAAAACTTGGGGACCTGCCCTCCTCCCTGACACCCTGGGGACCTGCCTCTCCTGGTGGTCTTGCCTTACCAATAAGGGAGTCGAGAAGAGTCAGCCATGAAGCCCAGCCTTTGGCTCTGATATTGCATTTTGCCCTGGATTTGTTTAAGCACTGCAAGGAGGATTAGACGCCACACCCCAGCCAAATCCCCAATTGGATCACTGTCTTGCCTTTAATTCCTTTGTATTTTCTCTAAGAAGACCTGTTTTGTTCCCCACTCTCAAATACTCAGTGGTTCTGCACTCCTTTTTTTCTCCTAGTGAGTGTGTTTTATCATCAAAGAGTAAAGAAATCTGTATTGAATTTTTATTTTAGGGCAGATTTGCAAACATCTTTGTGTTCTTTCAGAATAAAAGGTACCACTAAAAGGTAGCATTACTTTGGTTTAACTGGGAACATACCCACTATATATTTAAGTTCTATTTATAATGATCAATTTTTAAACTACTTTGTTTTTAAAGAATAAATTAGCTTTTTAAAAAGATAACGCATATGGTTTTACATAGACAATTAATTGCCATTATCTTAAAATGCCATTGTTTTGGTTCAATCCATTGTTCTAACTGTTCTCTCTTCACCACTGCTCGTGTTTATACTGCATTTTAATTGGGTGATTGATGCCAACCCAGAAAGTCATTTCTCATAAATAATTGCTGTAATTCTCTTCATACCATCTAGTGCTAGGTTAGGACTGTCGCACAGTCTGGTGCCTTTAAAAGTCACTGAGGAGCTAACTTGCAGTGTGTCTTTTCTTACGATCGGTGAAGCTCTTTCATTCACAAAAGAATTTGACAGTGAACGCATAATAGCTATGTTCAAGTATAAGGAATTAAAATTTCATTTTAGAAACTGGATTATTTCACAGTTGAATATTCTAAAATTGTTTCTACGCACAGATTCCAAATGAATGCTTGCGAATTCTTGCAGCACCTCGTGCTGACCCATTTAACTCCCTGCCAAGCCATGGTTAGGGCTGGAGAGTGCAGGGGAAGGTAAAAGGTGAATGGCAGAGGTCGTGATATGACTTCACGATGCCTTCCTCATGGCACTGGAGTGTCACTACGGGGAGAGTAGGACACCGGTACACCCAGTCATTTCTCAGGACGTGCTCGTTGACTGTGCACAGCGACCTGTTCCTGCAGCGGCACCAAAACACACGTGTGCAGATCCCCACCCACCCGAGAGGCAGATCCTTTCAGTCACCTAAGTCCTCACCCTGCTGGACAGGAAGAGACTAAAAACTGACATGCACAGTCCACAGCCATCTCAAATCGGGGGTGGTTTTGACAATTGTTTTCAAAGTTGCTGTAGGTATAAAGTGACTGAAAATACCATGTCTTTGTTCTGTATCCATTGTGACTGGCTTTTTTTTTTTTTAATGCTTGATTAATGATCTGTGTATAGACTAAGGCTGTGCTTTGTTATTTCCCAGGGGGTGTAATTATGCTCAGAAATCCGGGGTCTCATAGATGTGTGTGGGAAGGGTCTCCTGCAGTTGCCATTTCAAAACGAGGTCTTAGATTTCTCTTCTCATAAATGCAGGTGGCGGTTTTAACACAGACCAGTTCTTGTCACCTCTGAAGGGAAGGAAAGTCACCCACCGTTCAAATCTGACTTTTTTTCTTTGAAGAATGGTAGAGGTGGATTAGGGATAGAATCAGGAACAGACTGAAAGGGAGCTAGATGAAGCTAGGAAAAAGTATTATAGGGGAATGCTAAGGATGAAATCAGAGGGAAGGGGGGGTTGCTATTCCATTTTTGTAAATGATCATTACAAAATGTTCCCCTCCCTTGATTTCATTTAAAGGTGGTACTTTGGAAAACTTGGCCGAAAAGATGCTGAGCGACAGCTTTTGTCCTTTGGAAACCCGAGAGGTACCTTTCTTATCCGTGAGAGTGAAACCACCAAAGGTAAGATAAGGAGTTGAAGATGTTGGTTGTCATTCAAATCCGTGGATTAGTCAGAGGGGATGAAAGGCTTATCTCTAATGTGCAAGGATTTTTAAATGGCACATACCCTCCCTGCCTCGTGAGCGAGTCCGAGTTTCAGTTTTTCCCTCCAGGCTCTAGAACTGCACACGGTTCCGGAAGGACTACAGAGGCTCAAAAGCAAAGCCCTTCTTCCTGAAACAGGGAGCTGGGCAGCTTCGCTCCTGCAGGCGCACAAGATCATAGAATTTTCAGCTGTTCTTTAGAATTACGATTTTCTGAATCTCTCTTAGTTCCCCAGGCGCCAGTCCTACAGGTTGTTTTTGCATTCCTTTTATTTTTTCAAAACTGAGCACTGCTCTTCCTCCAACTGCTGGCCCTTTCATCACTGAAACACTCATTAGAGCCCACAAGAGGAGCCGGGCCAAGGGAAGGGACTTTCTACCTTGATCTACCAGACATGGTTATCTGCTCCCGAGAAAGTGTGGCAAATCAGAAACAGGAGGCTCCCTTGTAGGGAAGCATTCCTTCCACTTCTGTAGCACACGCTGCCCTGCCTCTGCGACACTCCATGGGTGAGGAAGACGAGGAGAGCGCCCCCAGCCTGCGGGGCTATTGTTCTTCATCCCCTCTCGGGAGAGTTGGGTCTATCCCGTGTTAGGCAACGTGCGGGTGACGGTACTGAAGAGAATATTGTAGGAAAAAATCCAGAAAGCTTTCCTTCTCACGAGTAAAATCACTTTATTGCTAACATCTTCTGACATTTGCGGTAAAGAGGTGTTTTCTTCTTCTGTTCCTGAGTAGAAGAGAGCGTGTTTGTGTGCACGCACGCACATACGTGTGTGTGTGTGTCCTCTTGATGATTATTAATCAGAATACTCAAGTGAATGAGACCGAAAAAACGAATGAGCTCTCAGAATGATTGGAGCTGCTAATGCCTTGCATATTTACCAGGTGCCTATTCACTGTCGATCCGAGATTGGGATGATATGAAAGGAGACCATGTCAAACATTATAAAATTCGCAAACTTGACAATGGTGGATACTATATTACCACCCGGGCCCAGTTTGAAACACTTCAGCAGCTTGTACAACATTACTCAGGTAACCCTAATGCCAACTCGCTACTAACCACTGGGACACTGGAGGGAGTGGGTAGGCACTGAGTAGGGGGTGGGGGGAGAGATACAAGCATACACAAAGGCAGCAGTGACAGTTTTCTTTGCTCACCACTCAACATGGGACTTTGCTGCATAGGATCTGTTGATGTTTTTCTATCATAGTTATTATTAGTTCCATACATTTGTCAAAAAATTCCGTACCATTCTTGTTCTCCAGATACAAAGCAGTAGGTTAAATTGTAAAAGTTGTCATCTTTTCCTGTTCCCCTGGAGTCTGTCATCAGAAACCATGACAGGAGAGAGAACAGTGTCTGGGCGGGAACACACGGAGTGTTGGGGGATCGTGTAGGGGACCCCCCAGTTCTCACTCAGTACTCACAGGAATAGCCACACATGCTTTTCATTCTCATGACCAGAAGAATTTTGCAACCCATCTATCATGTTCTACTGATCCACCAATACTGCTGTTTCCTAACTAGATGTAGACTCTGTGACCCAAAGCTCCTCCTAGATCTGTTAGGACCATTGTGTTAAATTAAACTTGTGAACAGTAAGTGGAACAGCCTCTGTCCTAACACCCATTTGTCACTGTCAGTGTGTTCCTAGAAATATGCACTTATGAGGTGTTTAGGTGTACAGTTGGTACATTCTAGTAAAGATTGTGGTCTTATACACAAGTGTTAAAATGATTTCTTTCTTTCCAAGATTAGCAAGAATACCCTGCTATATGACATACACACACAGGTGGATTTTTATATAGATACATATATACAGGTATATATCTGTATCCCATTAAACCCAGTAGCCCAGTAGTTTTTTCTGTGACCTATATATGTGTGTTCTTCAGGACAATGACAAAACCCCAAAATAGTGCATGACTTGCTCTATGCACATTCATTTTTAAAAAATGTGTGTATAATTTTTTAGCGTCCCCCCCCCAAAAAAAGCAGTCTTTTGAAAATGGAAATAAGAAATGCCTATTGATTTATCCCAGGCACTAATGAAAAAGTGAGAAAATTAAGAACACTTGGAGTACTCGTTGATTAGGGCATTGGATAGCTCTAGTTTACGTGATTCTAATGAAATATTTGGGAGAAATGGAGCAGAATCTCTCCCTGAGCTTAAGTGATACACTCAAAATGCCTGCATGTGTCAGAATTTTTCAAATGCCAAAATATATTTCATTACAGGCAAACATCAGCAGGATCCCCAGGGTTTGGATCATTTGAAAATATTGTGTTGGAAAGGGCACCTTAATAACATCGTAAAGCTGGAAGGAGAGAAGGGATATGAAGAGCAATAGACGTTTTTTAATCTCAAAAAAAATCCATCTCGAGTTAGATTTGTTTTTATATTGGCTTTTCCTCTTCCCCCCTTACTCTCTCTCACACAATAAAATGCCTTTGCAATATTGACACAAAAATAATTTCCTGCCTAAACATCTCAGAACCTGAGTCTACCAAAAAGAAAGGAATAAAAAGAAACTAAGAGCTGGTTCCTAGAGAAAAGAGAGCACTACATGTGATTTTCCTGGATCCGAGGGGCCTTCAGGGGGTGTGGTGGGGCAGAGGCTCTGCCTCACAAGCCAGGCTTTCTACAGCTTTTGTCACTGCCCTGATTCCTTGTTCTTTGTTACCTTTTCTTACCTGACAGAGATTTCACTTGGCATTTAGGCAATTTCCCCCTTACCACTGCTAAAGTGTAAAAGGTATATTCTTTTAAATGAAGGAAGGAAGGAAGGAAGGAAGGAAGGAAGGAAGGAAGGAAGGAAGGAAAAGAAAGAGAACAAAAGAAAAAAAATCCAAATAACCTATAAGTGATAACTTTTTTCCTTTTGTCTTTTTCATAAGAAACAGTTCTTTCACATCCTTGAATTTGTACAGATTTCGGTTTCCTGTCTTTCTGCTTTGAAACCAGATTTCTAAATTATACATTGGAGACTGTTAAAAAGATTTATTTTTAATGGGAAATATCAAAGAAGTGAGAGCATCTGACTGGTAGAATAGAGTCAGTTAAAATGCCAAAGAAATCACTAGAGAAATGTGACCTCTTTTTTTCCCCTGCCAGGTAGAATCTTCAGCCCTACTAGTTTATAACAGTCTAAGATTGAAGAGAAAAATCCTGTACTGAAGCTACAATTTTCAATATATTCAGACCAAAGAAAGCCCCTAAACCCTTGACATTAGAGAGGGTTAAGGACAGTCGTGCTGACATTCAGTAGTCCAGATGTACCTTTTGAAATCAGCAGAGGTATTTCAGGGTTCCAGAGACATGTTATTAGCACAAGTTGCTGAAAATGTTTTTCTTCCTTAGCGAGTATTAGAAACCAAAGCAGTCATACCTGTACCTGTATATATGTGTAAACTATACTATACCTGGAGGCATGGAGCAGTCTGCATTGAAAATGTCCTCTGTTCTACCTCCAATGACCATGTTTCAATGTGTGGTGTCTAATCTTCCAAGATGTGCGCAGCTCTCCGCCGACGTAGCACTGTTTTCAGCAACACTGTGCACTCGCTGGGTTTGTGCAACTGTAAGTGTTGTTTCACGTGTTGTGCTTTTCTCTCCCTCTCCTGCCGCTGTCCTCGCTCCATCAGAGAGAGCCGCAGGCCTCTGCTGCCGCCTCGTAGTTCCCTGTCATAAAGGGATGCCAAGGCTTACCGATCTGTCTGTCAAAACCAAAGATGTCTGGGAAATCCCTCGAGAATCCCTGCAGTTGATCAAGAGACTGGGAAATGGGCAGTTTGGGGAAGTATGGATGGGTATGCTGAGACTCAATTATTCTATTACTAGCTTTCTCGTTTGGGAAGTCCCAAACAGCGAAGATGGAAGGTGAAAATAAAGACTCTATGACCAGGAAGAAGGCTTAAGTTACTCATAGTAGAGAATTATACATTTGATTTTGATTTCAAAATTCCAGAATTTCTAGAAGAGAGATAGTGGTCAAGATTGGCAAATGGCTCAAATTATGCCGTTATATGAATCTCAATTCATAAGCCAGAAAACAGTGCAAGGAATGTTCCAGCTTGCACAAATGCCTTGCCCTTCCTTTACAACTGCAAACGTTTGCCCAGTGAACTCAGTGTTGCCCTAAAGGGTAAATCACCTTCCATCTTCCCTAGTGCATGCATGATAACAGATTATAAGGATTGTGTTTTCTTTATTAATTTCCTTTCCTGTAGAGAAAGCTGATGGTTTGTGTTTTAACTTAACTGTGATTGCATCAAGTTGTACCCCACAAACTTCTGGATTGGCTAAAGATGCTTGGGAAGTTGCACGTGGTTCATTGTCTCTGGAGAAGAAGCTGGGTCAGGGGTGTTTCGCTGAAGTGTGGCTTGGTAAGGCAGAGGGCACATTTCATTTTGGCTACTTCTCAAGGCCAATTAAAAGGACAGTCTGAACAAACACACACACACAGTCATTGGGACCAAGACACTTAACCTGAAGCTAGACAGACGCAGGCCATCTAGATTTTGAGAATACGGCGATACCTTGCTGTGCTCTTCTATACTTCTTCATATGGTTGGTGAAGCAGACGCACATAGAAGAAACACCAATACAATAAGTGTCTGTTGTTTCCTCTTCCTGAGACATAGGAAGGTAAGATACTATAGATGGGTTACTATAGGGAAAGACCATGGGCTTTTATGCTCAGTGGGCCAGGGTTTGAATCATTACTAGCTGATTAACCATATCCAAGGGGCTCATTTAACCTCCTTGAGCCTCAGTTTCCTCGTCTGTAGAATTGGAATGATACCTACTTCATAGGATTGAGGATCACATAGGACAATATATTTAGAGTCCTTGCACGCAGTTCGTGCTCAGTAGGCACACATACTTCTCTTAATTCGGTTGTCATGTCATTCATTGATGAGGCTGACTGCACTGGGCCCTTCCCACTGCTTTTATAACACCCTTTGGGTCATTTACAGCCTTGCTTGGAGAAAATCCATGGGTTTGGTGCCACCCAAAGACATCTGTCAGTGAGACAGTGTTGGTGCTTATGGAATCCACCTTCTTTCTTAGGTTCAATTAAAAACAATATGGATAGGTACCTGTTTTTACATTGTAGCTGTAGGTGTGCAGGGGTGGTCAGCATTAGAAGATTTAGTACAGTGAAAGCACTTGGAACAGAGCCTGGCAAAGAATAAATATTACATAGATATGGGTGTAGCGATAAGGTTAGAGATAGACATTCAAACATACACCTATATGTGCTGTGTATGTATAAGCTACTATATAATAAGTGCTCTCATTTTTCGAGTCCACATTATTGTGTCTCTCTCCGTACTTTAACTCAAGTATCATAAAATATCTTCATGTAGCCTTCCTCTCCCTCATCTGCCCAATTTATAATTGAAGTTGTGGGTGCCAAGGATTTCAATTCAATCATTTATACAATCAGGAAGAATTGGACATTCTACAAAATTTTATTTTCAAATTTTATGATTATCAACTTTAAATCATTATATCACATTATTAAGAATTTGTTGCCCACTGAGCATAAAACATTATGTCGTGGTAGTTCGGGATCAGGATGGAATGCCAGTGAGAGTAACTGGGTTGTTATTAGAGAGGAAAATCTCTATTTAAAATTTTGGGATGCTAATAGCACTCAAATAGCAAAGACCACTTCCAGATTATCAGATTTTCCATTTATATTTAGTGGTCAGATATTTTATAAGGTTTGAATGAACTCTTTTTTAAGCCACTGTTCTTTCATAACTTAGATGTTTGTAAGCTTCATGTTGTAATCGTATGAACCATGTTTTGAACAGGGTAACAAAAGTTTACAGAAATATTTAATTCTGAAGTCAATTACATTAAATATAAAAATGAATCTTCATTTAAACCAGCTCTTTTCCAAACAGAAAAAGCACGCTCTAACTTAGCAGATTTTTCTGTTTCCCTTAGAGTTTTAATCCGAAATTGTAGGACTAATAACGGAATACACATAGAACCGGGATTTTTGTTTTTTTAATTTCGCAGCTGAAAGAGATTCAAAAGATAATCCAGTTCTACTCCTATTCTACAGATGAGGCAACAAATGATCATAAACCAGGCCTGTCTCTGTATCTACTTGACTTTCTCCACCTGTGAAGCCTAAATATTTCTGTTCCCTCTTAGCTGCTGTTTGATTTTTTCAGTCCTATAGAGGCTGTTGCTCTTGTGGCTGACCTGAGGAGTTGTCCTTACCTGGTTGAAGTTTGGGGCAAGTAGACCGTGAGCTTCTTGCCAGTGCCCATTGGCATACTTGTAATCTCACTTATATATCAGCTGTTCAAGGTCTCTGTCAAGTAGCTCACCCACCGCACACGGTGGAAAGTCGAAAGGTAACTTCCAGACTTCTTCGGTGTGTTGCCGTCTTTTTTTAAATGGCACCCTTCGTACAACAGAACTATCCTAGTTTCTTCCATGCTTGCTCTACTGTCTAAGGGATAGCGGTGGGATAGCCAGGCCTGTTCTAACCTTTGAACTTTCAGCCTTGTTAAAGAAGCATCCAAAACTTTGGGTACCAATTTGTAATCACATGCGCGAGCTAGAAAAGGAAAGTGGCACATATCAAAATCAGAAAAAAGTTAAAAGAATTACAAACCATAACACAGCTATAAGTAAACTCATGTTTCCTGTTGAAGATATTGGACACAGTCCTTACTACATTTGCTTGTCTTCATTCAACAAAAAAGGATATTAAGTTTTTCTAAGTTAAAATCTAACCTTATGCAAGTAGCTGTTGATTTAAAAGCTTTTTTATTTTCCCATCAAAAGAGGATCCTCGGTTTGACTTAACGTTGTGGGATGTGTGCAGGTACCTGGAATGGAAACACAAAAGTAGCCATAAAGACTCTTAAACCAGGCACAATGTCCCCCGAGTCATTCCTTGAGGAGGCACAGATCATGAAGAAGTTGAAACATGACAAGTTGGTCCAGCTCTACGCAGTGGTGTCCGAGGAGCCCATCTACATTGTCACCGAGTACATGAATAAAGGTCAGGCCCCACCTCGCAGTTGACCCACAGGGGTTATTTCGGGGAGGGAGATGGAGGTGCCTGCCTGCTTTTGTTCTGCTTTTCTGCATGAGTCCGGCATTCCTGTCAGGAAGCACAAATCATGTGCTCGTTAATGAAAGCATTGTTAGAACAGACCATGACCTTGAGTTTGCCCCCCAGATCCTTATGAAATGCAACACCTTTTGCACGCTGCACGTGTCAGGAGTCCCAGCTCCTCTCCATAATTAAAGCATTCATATTTAATACCCGGGGTGATCTGGAGGGCTATGATCATTTGCTGCTACTTTGAATGCCATGGCTTGTGCTAAATTTCCTTTTTCAGGGCTGAACAGTTAGTATCGGACACTGGTCTCTGGACTCAGCTTAGTCTCCATCTTCTCAGCACCTTTTCTTTCCCAGTTCTCTTCTTAAACATCAGACGAAGAAAGACATGCTTTTAAAGAGCCCGTTTTATTTTCATTCTTTCTCTGCCTCTTTCTAATCAAAGCACTATTGCCAAGGATAAGGCCCAGAATCACTTTGTTTTGGAAAAAATAGACAAACCAAACAAGAAACGGCCTTAAAAGGCAATGCGTTGTACATCAGGGGGCACCAGCATAATTTTTCCTGTCCATATACTTTCTTTTTAAATACACTTGGAAATTTTTTTCCCTGGCAGATTGTTTGTCCCTTGTATCCAGGGTTATTTGGTAAATAACTTTGATATTAAAGCATGGAAACAGTCACCGATGACCATCATGAGCCTCCATCCAGCCTCGGCACATGATTGTTTCCGCCCTGGTGTTGGTCCTGAGCTCCCTAGGCTGTTATCACAGTGGCTCTGAAGCTTCAGCTGTTTTGTTTCCGATATCTTCAAGGCCTGGCTGGCCATGATTTAAAAAGGGGAGCTAACTGCCCCACCCTGTATTCCTCAGATATTCTTTTCTTGATTTAAAATCTGTAAATAAGCGAGGCCAATGATTCTCAAACCTTACTGTGTATCAGAATCATTTAGGGGTATTCTTTTTTTGTTTGTTTGTTTTTATAGGCTTTAGTCTTTGTTTTTTAATTTCAACTTGTTTTATTTTTTATTTTCTTTAATTTACATCCAAAGTAGCATACAGTGAAACAATGATTTCAGGAGTAGATTCCTTAGTGCCGCTTACCCATTTAGCCCATCCTCCCTCCCACAACCCCTCCAGTAACCCTCAATTTGTTCTCCATATTTATGAGTCTCTTCTGTTTTGTGCCCTCCCTGCTTTTATATTATTTTTGTTTCCCTTCCCTTATGTTCATCTGTTTTGTCTCTTAAAGTCCTCATATGAGTGAAATCATAGGATTTTTGTCTTTCTCTGACTAATTTCACTTAGCATAATACCCTCCAGTTCCAGCCCCGTAGTTGCAAATGGCAGGATTTCATTCTTTCTTATTGCCAGGTAGTATTCCATTGTTTATGTAAACCACATCTTCTTTACCATTCATCAGTTGATGGACATTTGGGCTCTTTGCATACTTTGGCTATTGTTGATAGCGCTGCTGTAAACATGGGGGTGCATGTGTCCCCTCGAAACAGCACACCTGCATCCCTTGGATAGATGCCTAGTAGTGCAATTGCTGGGTCGTAGGGTAGTTCTATTTTTAGTTTTTTGAGGAACCTCCATACTGTTTTCCAGAGTGGCTGCACCAGCTTGCATTCCCAAGGGGTATTCTTAAAATACAGCTTTCTGGGCCCGCCTCCAGAGTCTCTGATTCTGGTTCTAGGGTGGGGCCTGAGAGCTTGCATTTCTAACAAATTCCCTAAGGGAAGCTCTTCCTGCTGGTCCCAGGACCACACTTTGGGAGCCACTTGGCCTGGGTGGCATTTTCCCTATGTCACTCCTTCATTCAGGGCTGATGAGAGATGAGGCTAAAGTGGTCAGCTCCTCATATGTCCTTCTTTATGACATAAAGAGAATTGCATCCCATTTCTTGTAGGTTTGTCAGATTTTTGTTGTCCTTAGAAATGGAGTCACTGTTGTTTGTTTCTGAAAGATAAAACTACCTTTCAAAGAACAGAATTTTTTCTAGCCTCTTTTTTTTTTTAATAAATCTTTTCTTCATTGATGGCATTCATTCAATCACCTCATTATCTCTAATAAGAAAACCAAACCCAACCCTTTGTCAGGCATTTTTATCTTTCAAAGTAAATTGAAATGGTTTTCTCTTTTGTTCATAGGAAGTTTACTTGATTTCTTAAAAGATGGGGAAGGAAGAGCTCTGAAATTACCAAATCTTGTGGATATGGCCGCACAGGTAGGCCGCATGGTCCCTTGGTTCCTGCCTCAGGTTTACTGCCACGTCAGTACGAGTCGTGGGGTAACGTGTCCTGTCCATCGGTTTCCACAGGTTGCTGCAGGAATGGCTTACATCGAGCGCATGAATTACATCCACAGGGATCTGCGGTCAGCAAACATCCTAGTGGGGAACGGACTCATATGCAAGATTGCTGACTTTGGACTAGCCAGATTGATCGAAGACAATGAGTACACAGCACGACAAGGTGGGCACTTAAATAGGAGGGCTTGTGACCTCAGCCTCGAGAACAGGAGCTTCTTCAGGACCTTTCCTCTCCCCTTCCCTGCCTTTCCTCCAGAAAATACTTGAAATGGCCTTCTTTGGCCAAGTGCTTTCTTCTTAACCTGGCGGGAATCTGACAGCTTTGCAGATGGGAGACTGTGGTGGGTCCAGTAGATGGACAAATGTTGCTTTTTGGTGAATGAATGTCCTCTAATGTGGTCTTCCTGACTCATGCTACCCTCATCACAGTGTCCAGGCCTGGGATGCTTTGCCTTTGGAGAAAGAGGGCTGTGGAAGGCCAAAAGAGAAGTCAAATAATAGCGCATCATTCCATCAGAGTTTCAGCAGAATGAAGAAAGCACACTCAATTGGAGACTTGAATAAAGGAGCTCTTTATAAAGGCATGGGCAGAGTTAGGAAAGCCAACAAGGCAGGAGGTGATATCCCAGAGGTAGCAACAGCCACGGACCTGACCCGAGGCCAGAAGGGCAGTGGGGAAGGGAATAGGCAGGCACCAGAGCTAAGAACCAGAGGCCACCTTTGGCAGGCAGAGGCCAGGCACGGATCAGGGGCTTCATACCTTAGCTCCTCCTCCAGAGATCCTGCCAAACCCAGCAAGAAGCCAGAGGTCAGGGGAGCCCACTGATGGGTCCAGCTGGGTCTAGAGCAGGGAGAAGAGCAGAAGGGGGATCATGTAGAAAGAGGACAGAAAATAGCGGCGTCTCCTAAGCAGCCCCACCTCCTCTAAATCATCTCCCTCCATTCTCCCTCCTCCACAGATTTGTAGAAATTAGACTCTAGATTAAATACATCCCAAACGAGCAACCACTCCAGTGGGGAGCTTTTTGGATGCTTTTTAGAGCACCAGATGCCAGGGAGGGAATTCCCAGGGTTATTTTTGATCTTCCTGGATCTGCACACAGCAGTCAACAGGTAAATGTATGAAACTGAGTGTGCCGTTTGCAGTCGAATGTAGGCTCCTCATGTAGAATATAATGTTCACGTCTGAAGGAAATGGGTAGCCTTCATGACTGTTGTTTTTAACCAAGCCTAGGCATTCTGAGCAGGGCTGAGCGGTGACTGGAATATATTACAGGGCAGTGCTTTCTACTGGGTTTTGTAATAGCCACCTTGGAATTCCTGTCCTTTCTTTCTAAATTCTGTCATTTCATGCCAGTTCTTCCCTCCTTTTATCATTCTCAAGTGACGAGGAAAACAGTTAAACTGGGACCCTGGCTGGTGCAGATACTGTCCAAGTGCTCAATTCCATGTTGGTCAGACAGCTCGGCTATTTGAATTTCCCCAACACATGGCATTTCCTGTCCTGGAGCCAAACGCCCACAACAGGGAGCATGCCCACACATTACGCACACGCACGCGCACGCACACGCACGCACTCCTGTGGGGCCAGACGGCGGGCCACGTCCCTAATCAGAGGCACACAGGCAGCTGTGATTGGCACTGGCAGTCCAGAGAGAAATGTGGACATGATTTTGAGTCTGCGTGAGCTGAGAGGGTCTGCAGTGCCACTGGGGTCTGAGACCTGGCCCTAAATGAGAGATTTCACCCTGAGGCAAACCCTTCAGATCCCAATTCACAGACCCAGAAGGAGGGGGAGCAGGTGAAGGTTTGGGGACATGAATATTTGATTTAGGAAGGGGTGAGATTGGAGCTGGTCTTGGCAATCCATCACGTAAGCGTCCTTGCCTGCGTGAGTAGAGTCCTGGTGCCGGCTGGGGTAGTCCAGGATTTGATTCTCCCCTTCTCCCGGACTCTGGACTCCACGGAATTTGTGGTTACAAATCCGCGCCTTGAACCATCCACAAACGAGAGGGCTGCAGGGCAGAAACTGAAGATGTTCATGGAGGTGCTGTTGACAAGGCTGAATGTTTAGTTCATGGAGTGGGGTCCAGTCCTCTGGCTGTGGCCCCGGGTGACTGGCGCCATAGGGGAAGGCGTGTGAGAGCCCCTCATTGGTTTCCCTGACCGCATGCTTCCACCATGGAGCAGGGCCACGGGTGGCCACCCTCAGTCCTGGGCATCAAGTCCCACCCTCCTCCCCACTCAGCTGTCTGTCCACTTCTGGTGGCTTCCTCACCCCCCACCATCAGTTTCCCAGCTGCTGTCCTGATGCCTTTCAGATCAGCTTCATACCCTTTGTACCGTGTTTCTTCTGCTTAACTTCCAAGTAGTCCCACCCTTCCCTCTTAAAATTCTTTTTGTTTCTCTCTTCCCTTTCACAAATATTTACCTATCCATGACAAACACTGGAAAGAGATGAGTAAGGAGAAGTAAATGAAGTGGAGAACTGAACTTGGAGAAAGACACAAAGGTTGGGAGCTCCAGGATTTACAAGGAGGATACAAGAATGCTGTCCTGCAGCAGAAGGAAAGGAAGGAGCTGGGGCGCTTACCTACCGAGAGCCAGGCCTGAGAGGGTAAATGTGAGGAGCGGGGAAGGAAATGGTAGACTCCGAGGGGTTAAGTAACTTGTACAAAGTCACACAGCTAGTACAAGGGCAGAGGCAGGATTTGAATCCAGGTGTGGCCGGCACCATTGCATCCCTCTTAAGCTACACCAATGGCCTCTTACCAAGACAGTGATTTAAAAACAAAAAATAAAAATTGAGGTTAGTCATACACCCCTTTTTCTCTTTATGGGAAAGTTTTTAAGGGGCACTTTCTAATGTGCATGTGTGAGGGAGTTTGAAAGAGCTTCATTTTCCAGTTCTGGGACAGCCCAGCTGTTTATAAAATTCCTCCCGCGGGTCTGTCCTGCCCCGGCCTCTTAACGAGACAGAAAGGCCTGGTATGTATCTGCTAGTGTGCTCTACAGATGGCATGCGTGCTGCGTGCTAAAGTTTCTGCTGGGGATTAATCTGCTCCTCCAGACAGCTGGGCCATGTGCCTGATAATATTTACAAGTCGGGTTTTATGATACCCAGAGGCCACGGTCAGGCTAAAGCTTGATTATGGAAGTGTGGGCCACGTTCAGAAGCAAGTGCCCAACACAGGTATTTTGGGACTGTGAGTGACAGTTGTTTTTCAACACCATTGTGGGTTTCCCATCTACGGGCACACGAATGTCTGATACCATCCCCCCCCTGCCCTGGGTAGATGTGGTGACATTTCCCAGGGCACAAGTAAAGTTGAAATTCGGACATGTGTTAAACAGCCCTCCCTGTGTTCCTTTCCTCCTACCACCCCCTACCCCACTGGACTGTAAGCAGAAGCCCCTGTCGGGGAGAAGGTCAAGACCAGGGTCAGAGCCTGTGAGGGTGGTCCCCTGTCAACAGCATTCTAGAGGCAGCTAGAAATTATTTGCTATCGCTCATTCTCTTGCCTGTATGCCTCCCTCAATCCCAGCACGTCTTCTTTAGTCATAAACTCATTGCTAAATTGTATCCAATCAGGGTCTCCCAAGTAGTGCCAGCATTAATTATTTGAATGCCTTGTCTGGGAAAGGGACTTTGCTAGGAGCTTCTGACCTAAGGAAGCCTGAGACTGCACCAGGGCGGTCTGCAAGCATGCAAAGGGACACACACGAGCGGCGCTGAAGCCACATAGAACCATGGCCTGCCAGTCTCGGGGCCTTGGCCAAGTTATTTAACTTTCCCACACCTCAGTTTGCTTAAAGTGGAAATACATTTTACCTGCTTTGTGCTTTAATTTTTGCCAAGATACCTAACAACAAGACATGTGACGTGGTTAGCACGGTGCCCAGCACATGGCAAGTGATATATAAATACTGCTGTTATTGTGTCCTGTACAAGACTAAGTCCTTGGGGAATAAAAATACACGCAAGAATGGACTGCAGACATAACGGAAAGGCTCAGACGCTGTTCTGATAAGGGAGAGGGGAGGCAAAGAGAATTCTCATGTAGTCAGATGCAAGTATCGTGAGAACGGAATTGCCAGCAACAGAAATGAGCAAGTTAGAAGAAGAACTCATTTCCAGAGGAAAGAGGGTGAGTTTGGTTTCAGATTTGTTGAGCTTGAGGAGGTTGTGGTTGGCACATCCAAGCTCGGTGTGCAAGCCCTCACCCAGTACCACTGCCGTGGGTCCTCGCCTCCAGGCACGTGCCCCTGTTCCCTCCTGTCAGCTTACCCCCACCTGCACCCTCACCTGAGGTCCTATGTCAGCCACCTCCCTACCCCAGCACTGCTGCAGAGCCAGCCCCAGCCCTGCCTGTGCCACAGACACCGCACGCTAAGGGTCCACTGTCTGGATGTTGTCCTCACACATCCACACCTCGCCTCCAAGAACCACCGGCATGGACGGCTGTCACCAAGCCTTGCTTTCCAAAACCCACAGCCCCTGCAACCATCAGTTCCTTCAAAGCTCACACAAACAGGAAGCGGTGGGAGAATTCTTGATAGATTGCTTTCTTCATAAGCTTTCAGGAAGCTCAGTGCTGACTAGTGTTGACTTAAACCTAGCAAGTTCAGATAGACTTGGCTTGTGTGTAAGCATGACTTGTTTGGGGGGACACTTATTTGTTACTGAGCCGTAATATACATAACACCAAAATTAAGAGATCTGAAGGGCACAACTTAGTAAATTTTTACATATGTATAAGCCCCTGAAACCACCCACAGATGAAGGTACAGAATGCTGCCAGCACCTAAAGACCACCTCATCCCCCATCCAGCCAGTAGTCACCTGCAGAGGTAGCCACTGTTTGTACTTCTGTCACCATCCATTCGTTCTGCTTATAATTGAACTTCATATAAGCGAATCATACAGTATTACCCTTTTGTGTCTGGCTTCTTTCCCATCATTCTGTTAAACAAATATATCAGTTTATCTGTTCTACTGGTATTTCTCATTTGGTACCATTATGAATTCTGCTGTGGTTAGTGGGCATATGTCCTCCTGTCTCTTGGATATATCCCAGGACTAGAATTGTTACCCTTAAGGCAAGCCTGTGGTTAGCATTTATAAATACCACCCAGCGTATTTTGTGGGCGTATCTTTAAAGG